CAGTGAAGGAGTCATTTCCGACCATATAAACCATATATATTCTAGATCAGCATTAAAAGCTGAATCGATCTAGCTGTGTCCGACCAAAATCTATTTTTTTCACAATTTTCGAAAATTTCAATTTTTCATAAGGGGTTACATCATTAAAATTGTTTGAATTTTTTAAAATGTTAAACTGGGTATGCAGGTTTATTATCCTAATAAAAACTAACGCAGGACAGCTTTCCGAATCAAATTTAATGCATTTTTGGGTTTGTTATGAATTTTTTAACATTTGATTAGTTGCATAAATTGTGCTATAAAAATATAAATAGATATTGGCTCAAAGAATGGATTATAATTTTAGCCACAAGGTTGTTCAAAATGCTAAATAAAGTATGCAGGTTTGTTACCCCAATAGAAACTAATACAGGACAGCTTTTCGAATCAAATTTAATGCATTTTTGGATTTGTTATGAATTTTTTAATCTTTGATTGGTCGCAAAAATAGTGGTTTAAAAATAGGCCGAAAGAATGGGTTTCAATTTTAGTCCGAAGGCTGTAAAACAGTGAAGGAGTCATTTCCGACCCTATAAACCATATATATTCTAGATCAGCATTAAAAGCTGAATCGATCTAGCTGTGTCCGACCAAAATCTAGTTTTTTCACAATTTTCGAAAATTTCAATTTTTCATAAGGGGTTACATCATTAAAATTGTCAAAAATTGGCAAAAAATTTAATTTTTTAAAATGTTAAACTGGGTATGCAGGTTTATTATCCTAATAAAAACTAACGCAGGACAGCTTTCCGATTTGAATTTAATGCATTTTTGGCTTTGTTATGAATTTTTAACATTTGATTATTCGCATAAATTGTGCTATAAAAATATAAATAGATATTGGCTCAAAGAATGGATTATAATTTTAGCCACAAGGTTGTTAAAAATGCTAAATTAAATATGCAGGTTTGTTACCCCAATAGAAACTAATACAGGACAGCTTTCCGAATCAAATTTAATGCATTTTTGGATTTGTTATGAATTTTTAATCTTTGATTGGTCGCAAAAATAGTGGTTTAAAAATAGGCCGAAAGAATGGGTTTCAATTTTAGTCCGAAGGCTGTAAAACAGTGAAGGAGTCATTTCCGACCATATAAACCATATATATTCTAGATCAGCATTAAAAGCTGAATCGATCTAGCTGTGTCCGACCAAAATCTATTTTTTTCACAATTTTCGAAAATTTCAATTTTTCATAAGGGGTTACATCATTAAAATTGTTTGAATTTTTTAAAATGTTAAACTGGGTATGCAGGTTTATTATCCTAATAAAAACTAACGCAGGACAGCTTTCCGAATCAAATTTAATGCATTTTTGGGTTTGTTATGAATTTTTTAACATTTGATTAGTTGCATAAATTGTGCTATAAAATATAAATAGATATTGGCTCAAAGAATGGATTATAATTTTAGCCACAAGGTTGTTCAAAATGCTAAATAAAGTATGCAGGTTTGTTACCCCAATAGAAACTAATACAGGACAGCTTTTCGAATCAAATTTAATGCATTTTTGGATTTGTTATGAATTTTTTAATCTTTGATTGGTCGCAAAAATAGTGGTTTAAAAATAGGCCGAAAGAATGGGTTTCAATTTTAGTCCGAAGGCTGTAAAACAGTGAAGGAGTCATTTCCGACCCTATAAACCATATATATTCTAGATCAGCATTAAAAGCTGAATCGATCTAGCTGTGTCCGACCAAAATCTATTTTTTTTCACAATTATCGAAAACTTCAATTTTTCATAAGGGGTTACATCATTAAAATTGTCAAAAATTGGCAAAAAATTTAATTTTTTAAAATGTTAAACTGGGTATGCAGGTTTATTATCCTAATAAAAACTAACGCAGGACAGCTTTCCGATTTGAATTTAATGCATTTTTGGCTTTGTTATGAATTTTTTAACATTTGATTAGTCGCATAAATTGTGCTATAAAAATATAAATAGATATTGGCTCAAAGAATGGATTATAATTTTAGCCACAAGGTTGTTAAAAATGCTAAATTAAATATGCAGGTTTGTTACCCCAATAGAAACTAATACAGGACAGCTTTCCGAATCAAATTTAATGCATTTTTGGATTTGTTATGAATTTTTTAATCTTTGATTGGTCGCCAAAATAGTGGTTTAAAAATAGGCCGAAAGAATGGGTTTCAATTTTAGTCCGAAGGCTGTAAAACAGTGAAGGAGTCATTTCCGACCATATAAACCATATATATTCTAGATCAGCATTAAAAGCTGAATCGATCTAGCTGTGTCCGACCAAAATCTAGTTTTTTCACAATTTTCGAAAATTTCAATTTTTCATAAGGGGTTACATCATTAAAATTGTCAAAAATTGGCAAAAAATTGAATTTTTTAAACTGTTAAACTGGGTATGCAGGTTTAATATCCTAATAAAAACTAACGCAGGACAGCTTTCCGATTTGAATTTAATGCATTTTTGGCTTTGTTATGAATTTTTTAACATTTGATTATTCGCATAAATTGTGCTATAAAAATATAAATAGATATTGGCTCAAAGAATGGATTATAATTTTAGCCACAAGGTTGTTAAAAATGCTAAATTAAATATGCAGGTTTGTTACCCCAATAGAAACTAATACAGGACAGCTTTCCGAATCAAATTTAATGCATTTTTGGATTTGTTATGAATTTTTTAATCTTTGATTGGTCGCAAAAATAGTGGTTTAAAAATAGGCCGAAAGAATGGGTTTCAATTTTAGTCCGAAGGCTGTAAAACAGTGAAGGAGTCATTTCCGACCATATAAACCATATATATTCTAGATCAGCATTAAAAGCTGAATCGATCTAGCTGTGTCCGACCAAAATCTATTTTTTTCACAATTTTCGAAAATTTCAATTTTCATAAGGGTTACATCATTAAAATTGTTTGAATTTTTTAAAATGTTAAACTGGGTATGCAGGTTTATTATCCTAATAAAAACTAACGCAGGACAGCTTTCCGAATCAAATTTAATGCATTTTTGGGTTTGTTATGAATTTTTTAACATTTGATTAGTTGCATAAATTGTGCTATAAAAATATAAATAGATATTGGCTCAAAGAATGGATTATAATTTTAGCCACAAGGTTGTTCAAAATGCTAAATAAAGTATGCAGGTTTGTTACCCCAATAGAAACTAATACAGGACAGCTTTTCGAATCAAATTTAATGCATTTTTGGATTTGTTATGAATTTTTTAATCTTTGATTGGTCGCAAAAATAGTGGTTTAAAAATAGGCCGAAAGAATGGGTTTCAATTTTAGTCCGAAGGCTGTAAAACAGTGAAGGAGTCATTTCCGACCCTATAAACCATATATATTCTAGATCAGCATTAAAAGCTGAATCGATCTAGCTGTGTCCGACCAAAATCTATTTTTTTTCACAATTATCGAAAATTTCAATTTTTCATAAGGGGTTACATCATTAAAATTGTCAAAAATTGGCAAAAAATTGAATTTTTTAAACTGTTAAACTGGGTATGCAGGTTTATTATCCTAATAAAAACTAACGCAGGACAGCTTTCCGATTTGAATTTAATCCATTTTTGGCTTTGTTATGAATTTTTTAACATTTGATTATTCGCATAAATTGTGCTATAAAAATATAAATAGATATTGGCTCAAAGAATGGTTTATAATTTTAGCCACAAGGTTTTTAAAAATGCTAAATTAAATATGCAGGTTTGTTACCCCAATAGAAACTAATACAGGACAGCTTTCCGAATCAAATTTAATGCATTTTTGGATTTGTTATGAATTTTTTAATCTTTGATTGGTCGCAAAAATAGTGGTTTAAAAATAGGCCGAAAGAATGGGTTTCAATTTTAGTCCGAAGGCTGTAAAACAGTGAAGGAGTCATTTCCGACCCTATAAACCATATATATTCTAGATCAGCATTAAAAGCTGAATCGATCTAGCTGTGTCCGACCAAAATCTATTTTTTTTCACAATTATCGAAAATTTCAATTTTTCATAAGGGGTTACATCATTAAAATTGTCAAAAATTGGCAAAAAATTTAATTTTTTAAAATGTTAAACTGGGTATGCAGGTTTATTATCCTAATAAAAACTAATGCAGGACAGCTTTCCGAATCAAATTTAATGCATTTTTGGGTTTGTTATGAATTTTTTAACATTTGATTAGTTGCATAAATTGTGCTATAAAATATAAATAGATATTGGCTCAAAGAATGGATTATAATTTTAGCCACAAGGTTGTTCAAAATGCTAAATAAAGTATGCAGGTTTGTTACCCCAATAGAAACTAATACAGGACAGCTTTTCGAATCAAATTTAATGCATTTTTGGATTTGTTATGAATTTTTTAATCTTTGATTGGTCGCAAAAATAGTGGTTTAAAAATAGGCCGAAAGAATGGGTTTCAATTTTAGTCCGAAGGCTGTAAAACAGTGAAGGAGTCATTTCCGACCCTATAAACCATATATATTCTTGATCAGCAAAAAAAGACGAGTTGTCAATGATAAGGGGTTACGTCCTTAAAATGTTCAAAAATTGACAAAATTTTGGGGTATTTAAATGAGTATGCAGATTTGTTAACCTGTTAAAAACGAATGCTTTTTATGAGATTTTTATATATATATATATATTATAGATTAGTTATGAGATTTTTAATCTTTGATTTGTAGGTAATATTTATTTAAAATGGTTGTTTTTTTTGATATCCTTTGTGACTTCCTTGGTTATCCTTGGTTTTCGCACATTTCTTATTCGCACAGCAAAAGGAGTAAGGGAGAACCTGTTTGCGCATGCACCTCTACTGACTGGCAGTCATCCCTCATCCTTCTTATCCTTGCTCCTACTCCCACTCCCTCTCCCTCTCGCTCTTTCTCGCCACTTGTTCGGCTCTCGTTTTGTTTTGTAGAGAAATGCGACACGAGGACATAAAAGGACGACTTCGTGTTTTCAGCCACAGCAACAGGACTGAATATAACGGGAGGCCAGCAAGCTGAGTGTTATCATTTACACGGAAGAGTTTGTCGCATATAAACATTGCGGACTTTATCAGTGTATTCCGGAGTTAATCAGCCAAGGAGCCAGGGATCAACCAGCCAACTATTCGCCGCCCCACGCATGTGTCTGTATTTGGGAGTCGTGGAGCACCTGGTGGATGTGGTGGCCTATTGCATGTGCCGCGTCCTGGAGCTGTCCCTCTTCACCTGCATGATGGTCTGCGGATCCCTCAAGTCCAAGCTGACCAATGGGCCCTCCAATGAGCTGGAGCAATGACCGGGCCACTACTATGAGAGTTGCTAAAGGATGTGACGGCCAAAAGGATTAATGCGTGTGTGTGTGTGTGCGCTGGTATTTGTGTTCGACTAAAATTTAATATAGGCAAACTTTTCTAGTGGCGAATAAATAATGGCTTATACTATGTATATGTGTATAAACGATTGTCTTTCTTTTGCTGTTGTTCTTGTTGTCCTGAAATTGAGCCATAATTCAAGATTGCCCACGGCAAGGATTTGCCCCTCGTGCTGTCTTTGTCGCCTCTGTTGTTGTTTACACAGCTCCCTTTATTTGTTTGTGTTGCGGAGTCGTTTATCGTTCTTATTAGCCAGGAATAACGGAGGCGGAAAAAAGTGGGCTCAAAGGGGGGTTCCGTGGGCCATTTGCATGATGATAAAGTATCGACTTGGGCTTACATCCCAGTACTACACACTGTATTACCACCACACATGGCAATTGTGTGTTTGCGGCCTTTGTTTCGGCGCCTGCAAATATGCTTCACTTCTGGCCAGACATTTTATTGCCACCGTAGAGGAGAATCCTCCACATCCAGCTCCAGCTCCTGCTCCTGCTCCTGCTTCTCCGGTATTTATGTAGTTGTTTACAGCCGCCGGCCTAGAGCATAAATTTATTCAAATTGTACGTGCAAATGGGAGGACATAACGTTTATTACAACACACACACACACTCATACCGCCCGCAGCAGGCACTTTGAATCTGACTTCCGGCTCTCACAATTGAAGTTTTTGATATTTTTGATAACTAAATCCCACAAAATTTATCTCCCCCGCCGCACATCCGGGTCATGGAGAAGCAAGCCAAGCAGCGGTTCAACTTCAGGAAACTTGCAACTAGCAAGAAGCCGGAGGAAGTTACAGTCTTAACGAAGTCGGTCGATAATAAAATTGATATCGATAAGGAACCTGATCAGCCGATTGTCTATGATTATATGAAATATCCTGCAAACAAGAAGAAGAACGCCAAGCAAAGCAAGTGCCCAAAGATCCAGAAGACTGTCACCTTCAAGACGATGGTGGAGCTGGTGACCTACACGGACAACTGGAAGATGAAGATGATCCATGGCAAGTTGCGCACAGAAGAGGAGCAGGTAAGTCTTTTTTTCTTCAGCATTTCCTGAAAATTAAATAAAAAATGGCAATTAATCTTACCATCCATTACCATCCAGCGCAAATCCTCCCTTAAGCGACGTAACTTTTAAGGACATTTGGAGAGAGTTGTTTAAATAGCCCAAATTAATATTGTTTTTTGTTTTGACCAATTAATATAAGTTTTCAGTTAATAACATTTTTAATAAATATATGCAGCAGAAAATTTCAGAATAGAGGAATTTACTGAGTTTTAAATAAATAATATCACCGAAACGGGTTAACAATAATTTAGAAGTGAAGCCTCAAGGCGCTACTCGGATTCCCCGCTGTCCTTGTTTCCTCCCAATCCCACACACTTCAGCTGGTTGTTGATGTTGCAAATGACAAACTCATCAGAGTCCTTGCCCCCGAACTCTACGGTGCGAATGCCCTCGTCCATGGTGCGTTGCATCTGGGCCCACAATCCCTCGGAGCAATGCTGGTGGCCCAGGTATTCCAAGAGATCCGCAATGGTGGATATGATCCCGTAGGCACTGAGATTCGAGTAGTTGGTCAGCGATAGCTTCGTTTGCAGGGGCTTGAAGACGGCATGATTGTCACCGATCTCCACGGCACTGAAGAGATTTGCTCCGCCGCAGACCCCGCTGCAGATGGTCGAGAGGAAGGTGGCATAGCGATCGCTGGCAAACAGGCAGTCGAAGTAGGCGGGGTTTGTGACAAGCCGGCTGATGCACTCCTCCACCTCCATCAGCTCTAGCTCTAGATCCTCGTACTTACTGTGGATCTCCTTGGCATCCTCCACCATGGCTCCGTCGTTCAAAGGCCACTCCTTGGCCTTGTTGACCAGTGTGACTCGCCTTCTGCCAGCTGCCGCCGCTGCCGCAAAAGCGTGCTCCAAGTACTTCCGGTTAGCCGCCTGGGTGACGACGGATAGGGCCTCCACTACGCCGTTCACCGGTGAGTACTCCAGCTCCGAGTAGTTGCCCATGTTGTTCTGCCCGATCATTTGGATGTCGACGCAAGGGTACCGACCCTTATATCCAGGAAAGGTGCGCGTCCGCGTCTTGAACACATACAGATCCAGATCGTGACAGATCTTCAGGGATCTCGCCTTGGATTTTTCATCCGCATGGATATCCACATGAACTGCAGCCCTATTCCGAAGCACCGATTTATAATACTCATCCTCCTGGTCCGCGCCAATAGGCTGCACATCCACAGGCACCCTACTGCTCTGGAGTAGCGAGCTGACGAACTTGGCGCCCTGCTGGCCAATGATCGAGCTGCCTGTGTATAGGGTGACTGTGTGGATGCCGCCGTAGTATGATTTTGGCGGCACGTTGACAGGGTCCAAACGCACATGCCCCTTCAAGTAGGAGGACTTCAGACTGCCGGTCACCTCCGTTGTTGAATAGTAACGGAAACCGCTGATCTTGGCCAGATGTCGGCCTATTTTTGCACCTTGAAGCATTCTTGTGATCGGATTTAAGTGGTGAGACCAAAAAGAGAGCCTACAAATACAAAGGAATCAATATAATAGGATGACACCATGTGCTAAGCCTCCTTAGCTTTAGTAAAGTTTAACCAATTATTTATGAATCCTAAAACTGGAATTTCATCTAAAATTAACTACTCAGAAATGAACGTTGGTTTTTTTATTGTATATATTGAAGGCTTTTCAGATTTTTTAATATAACAACACAAAAAGCTGTAGTTTTAAATAATTGAATCTACACATTTTACAAATTTTATATTAAGATTTATTTTTGCCAAAATTGTATTGATCTTCCTTAACATGGGACTAATGACTCCATAGCATGTTCCCTGCCAAATCCTGAACTATATATCGTAACAAAGAGACTTGTTAGGACACGGACAACCATCGATGCCGTATTTTCCGATGGGAATCTCCGTCTGCGTCTCCTTGTGCTGCGGTCCGGGCAGCTTCCAGGCCTTGTCGGCAAAGTATCGATCCGGGAGGTAGTAGATGGGGTACTCCGCCCGCAGCCGCTCGTGGTCCTCCTTCAGGTCCTGGGCCACTTCCGGAGCTGCTCGCCGAGCCTCCAGGCGATACTGCTTCGGTCTCACCATTCGAATGGGTGGCACCAGTTGCAACCTCGAGGACGGCAGGTAGGACACCAGCTCCTGGTCCAACTTCTGGTTCTGTTCTGCCTTGATCTTGGCACAATGTTGGCACTTGCACTTGCCGCCATGGTAGCAGTACCGTTTCCGTCCATCGTCGTCCACCATTAACAACGGCACGCAGACAGGCGCATGATCGGGCTGCGCCTCAGTCTGCGTGGCCTGCGTCTCCTGGGAGGGATCGGAAAACATTGTGGGTTCCGGGAAGCTCGCGAGAGGTTTTATTGGAGCTGAGTCCTAACGATTTCGATACTAGTCTGACTGAAACTAAGGCAGAAGATCAAATCTTAGCAGCAGCAGCAAAGGCAAGGCTTGCTAAGGGTCATAAAAGATTAGTACGAGAACTTAAACTCCACTCTTAGATGGCTCAGTAATGATTAAAATACATTTAATAATAATAAATAATATTACAACCAATTCACATGCCAATGGAGTCGCCACCACCGCATCACCTCAGTGCTGAGTGTGGACGTGCGAGGGAGGCACTCCATAGTCATGTGGAATCCCCATACCGATCACAAATCTTATTCCTAGTTATATTCTGTAATTCTTGCCTCACGCTCTTGGCCCCGGAGCAGTAGATATTGTGGGAGGAAGACTTCCACTTGGGAGAGGTCGCAGGAACCTTTGAACATCTCTCCGCTGCCTTCATCCGAAGATAGTAGTCCCTAAGCTCCCGCTGACGCACCTCGGCAAAGAACTCCAGCATTTTAGGAGAGTCTGGAATACTGAGTGGCTTGTTTCTGGTTTCTGAGCAGCAGGGGTTCACTGCATCGGGCTTAGTCACCTTAATGGTCGTGGACATTTTGTTTCTGGTACTTTGGCGCTTGCTTATCTTCTTGGCCATCGGCACACTGATGTCCGATGCCATGGGTGATATCTTTGTGGACCTCTTCCCTTTGGAACACGTCATTGTCACTACGTCGCGGCGCTCCGATTCCTCCGTGTATCTCGGAACGTACCGTTTGTCCCTGTTCAGGGATCCGGTCATGTATAGCAAGTACCATTTCACGGGCGTCATCATCATCATGCCAAAGCTACAATCTGTTTAAAAACTATAAATTTTGACAAAGAATCCCTAGAATGAAAATGTTTCTCTTAGCAGCCAAGCCTCATCATCAGAGTACATAGGGTTCTCTTAATCAAGAGGTTTCGGGTTTGGGTTCGGGTTCGCTCTTCAATCTAATCTCGGACAGAGCATGACCAGCCGATCGTATAAAGCTCCCTATAACCGCTCGCTATTGTTCATTCTTTATCCGGCATTCAACAAGCGCGCAAAGCGTAAAAAAACAAACAAACAAATACTATATACTATAGATGCAATGTCAATAATTGAGGAGGAGACCCAATGGCTGCGCTCTACGATTCTGCCAAAGATTCTGAAAGATGGACGCTTGGTGGACAACTACAGCGATGCAAAGGCGGGCACCTTTAAGCTGGGAGACATCAAGATCGATGTAATTGGGCATGCGGAGGCCTTTATGCTGACCTTCTGCTACCGCACAACGATCAACTTTGAATTCGACGGGGAGAAGCTCCAGCGGAAGATGGTCGTGAAGGTATAACTTGGTCTTAATTAACTTTTAACTTTTGTCAAATTTTACCACAGTGAAACAGTCTCCAAAATACATTAACAGCTCATAAACTTTGAAGCGGGTAAACACCCCTTTAAAGATACAAAAGTGGCTTGCATAAATTATCTCGAGTGTGTTTGCAAAGCTAAAGCACAGATAAAACCATCTCGAAACATCTCATTATCGGCTTCAATGGATTTTTAAAAATATATTGTGAAATAGTTGAGATGTAATTGGTGTCTTAACTCGAAAACCTTATCAAAATCAGAGGCCAATTCTATTTGCCGATAAGAACGGAAATCTATAAAAGCAATGATCATTGTTTTTTTGGAAGTCCAGTTATTTGTAATTAATAAAATACATTTTTTATTCGCACTTTGCAGAAAACACCGAAAGTGCCTCCAGAGATGTACGACTCCATACAGTTTGGACCGCTTTTCACCAACGAGATTAACTTCTATACGAAAATTCTGCCCGAGATCCAGAAGGTGGCTGGTGGAAAGTTCGCGGCTCCCAAGTATTACTATAGCGAGCTGAATAGGCACTCTGCGGTAATCATTTTGGAAGATTTTGCTGAGCGGGGCTGGCGAGTGACCAAGGATCGGGTCGGTCTAAGCCTGGAACACGCCTTGATTGCAGTGGAATACTTGGGCCAGTTCCATGGCTTCACGTACGCCATAAAGCACAAGAATCCGGAGCAGTTTGGCCAGCTTACGAGTGAGCTAAAGGAATCCCGCTACGCCAGAGATGAGATTAATCACGAGTGGAACCTCACCATCCAGACCGGCGTTAAGCGAGCGGCCAAGGCGGTGGCCACCTATCAGCCACAGATCAAAGAGGAGTTCGTCAGGAAGTTATGCTTTTTGATGTGGGATTACGTATTGTATGGTAAGCAACGCGTGGCGCCCAGGGAGCCTCTGGCCACTCTCTGCCACGGAGATTATGTGAGGAACAACGTGGCCTACAAGTACAGGGACCAGCCGGAGGAGATATTTTCCACCCAAGTGGTGGATGGCCAAATCGTGCGAACCCTATTGGGGATCAACAACAATCCTCCAGAGGAGCCGCTGGAGATTATGATGTTCGATTACCAAACACTAAGGGTATCCTCACCCATGATCGATCTCGCAGTCTTCTTGGCGATATCTCTTTATGCCGATGTCCGATATAAAAACTTTGATGCCATCTTCGAAAGATATTGCTTCTCACTTTATGGCAGCTATACAAAGCACACCAAGGGATCTACGATTCCTGACTTTATGAGGTGAGTTGGAAGTAGCTAGGCAGAATGGTTAAGTATTATTTATCTTATTTTTTATCTGATTCTCTTACAGTCATGCGGAGCTACTGAAGGAGTACGTCCGTTTCCTGCCTTATAGTGTATCTATTACAGCAAGTTTCCTCATGAGTCTGGTCGAGCCCTTGGACATGTCGCCCGAGGAGATGTTCTCCCAGCAGTTAACGGATGAGGAGATCATCGAGCGGGTGATGAACCAGGGCGGTGAAGTTGTGAACCGGGAAGTGGCCCACCAGATTAAGGAAATGCTGGAGCTGAGCCAAAGGGTTGGGGTTGCCATAGACGATGGCATTGATGTCGATCAACTGCCCAAAGTAAAAGAATCATATAACTAATGTATTATTATTTATTGTCTACTTATGAGCTTTAAAATTGAGTCCAAAATAATACTTAAATTGTACAAAAACACTATCATTCCATTTTAACTACTATGACCCTGAACATGATGTAATAATAATAAAAAAAAAACGCAAAGAGCGGAGATTAGACGCTTAAAAGAATCGTAACTCTCTTATTTATCTGAGAACCTTCGATCCCGCTCTTCAACGATTTGTCTAATCTCGGAAAGAGCATGACCACCAGAGCGCACAAAATACACTATCACCTCTCGCCGCTGTTCAGTAACTAGCTGGGAGCAAGCCAGTTTGGTTCGTCTAAAAAAATCAAGTATACGCCATGTCGCAAATCGAGGAGGAGACACAGTGGCTGCGATCTACAATTCTCCCAAAGATTTTGAAAAACGGGCGCTTGGTGGACAACTACAGCGATGCAAAGGCGGACACTTTCCAGGTGGGAGACATCAAGATCGATGTAATTGGTCATGCGGAGGCCTTTATGCTAACCTTCTGCTACCGGGCCACCATCACCTTCGAGTACGACCAAGAGAGTTTCCAGCGGAAGATGGTCGTTAAGGTAGAGTAACTGAAAATTCGCAAAGCCGAGAAAATGGGTGGAGGTGTGGCAGGCATGGAAATGGGATAATTTCAGCACAATAAGCCAGTCACGGAAGTAAAAAATATACATTTTTCTTCATACAAAGTTGAACCCTATTAATATACGTAGTATACGTGTACACTTGCAAGTCTAGACGCCGCTTGCGGATAAAATATCAGCATTTCGTTCAGACAACAAAACAGATAAGAGCTGCACGTCATGCTTAGGGGTTCATTGGATTTTCAACAAACATTGTAAAACAAGTATTCAACAAGAAAAAATTCGGAAAAACGAAGTTTCTATACCCTTTGAAGATAGCGATTGGATCATGAAAATCGAGCATAACTAAGTCAAGCTTTAATTTCAATTCGGACAGCGTTCCCATGTTAGTTTTTATTAGGTTAATACAACTGCATACTTAAATTAATTAAATTTAAATTTTTAAAGAAAACAACATTCTGCCAATTTTTGCCAAATTTAACGATGTAACCCCTCGAAAAAAATTTTTAAAAAATTGGTAAACATTTTTTTTTAGCCGGAGATATCTAGATAGACTCGGCTGCTCATGCTGATCAAGAATATATATGATTTGTAGGGTCGGAAATGACTACTTCACTATGTTGCAAGCTTCTGATCAAAATTATTATACCCTTCAAGGGTATGCTACGTTGCTGTGTTTGCCATGTTTCTGTGGGGTCTGCCTAATCAAGAAAATTATTATTTGATGATAAGGAATACGCTGCTAGTAATGATTACTCAACAAAGCCAAGAACACTCAATAGTAAAATATTTCAAACACATTTCACAGAAAACACCGAATGTGCCGCCAGATGTTTATGAAAACATTCAGTTCGGACCGCTCTTTAGCAATGAGATCGCATTCTATACAAGAATTCTGCCAGAGATTCAGAAAGCTGGTGGAACGTTCCCGGCCCCCAAGTATTATTACAGCGAGCTAAATGAGAATTCGGCGCTGCTCATTCTGGAGGACTTCGCCGAACGGGGCTGGCGGGTGACCAAGGATCGGATGGGTCTAAGCCTTGAACACGCCATGGTTGCAGTCGAGTACCTGGGCAAGTTCCATGGCTTCACTTATGCCATAAAGCACAAGAATCCGCAGAAGTTCGCCGAGCTGACCAGCGGGTTAAAGGAATCACGCTACGAGAGCGATGTGGTTCATCCGGAATGGGATCTCACCAACCAGACGAGCTTTAAACGGGCGATCAAGGCGGTGAAGACCTATCAGCCCCAAATCGATGAGAAATTCGTAAGGCATTTGTTCTTCCTGATCGCGGATTACAATTTGTATGGTAGACAGAGAGTGGCACCCAGAGAGCCCATGTGCACACTTTGCCACGGGGATTATGTGAGGAACAATGTAGCGTACAAGTACATTGATCAGGAGGAGCAGGAACCCAGGGAGATCATGATGTTCGACTACCAAACCCTTCGGGTTTCCTCGCCCATGATTGATCTATCGTCTTTCCTGGCCATATCTGTTTATGCCGACGTGCGGTATCCCAACTTTGATGACATCTTCGAAAGATATTGCTCTTCACTGCATAACAGCTACTTGGAGCACTCCAAGGATTCCGATATTCCAGCCTTCATGAGGTGAGTGAACAGTGGAGTAAAAGGGGAATGTTATTAATAGTATTGGTCTTAGTCGAGCGGAGCTTCTAAAGGAGTATGTGCGTTTCCTGCCCTTCGGCATCTTCATTACGGCTACATTCCTTATGAGCCTGGTGGAGCCCTTGGACATGTCACAGGATGAGATGTTTGCCCTGCAGTTAACGGATGAGGAGATTATCGAGCGTTCTATGAAACAGGGCGGTGAAATAGTGAATCGGGAGGTTGCCCACCAGGTTAAGGAGATGTTGGAGTTGAGCCAATTGTGTGGCGTCTCCATAGACGATGGCATTGACTTGGAAAAGTTGCCATGTGTGTTCCCTATGAATTAACTAAATCTATCAATCCAATAAGATATTAATACATATAAGTATTACTCTGTTTAATTAACAAATTTATATATTACTCTTAGCTCAAATAAATCAAAATCGAACTTCCAACTCTGGTTTTCTCTTAATCCCATAAAGAGCGGGGCTAGCCTATAAAAGCTGCTTACTGCGCTCAAGAGAGTTTATTTAGTGGCTGGAACCCAAACGTTTGGGATCTAACAAGCACTATGTCACAGATCGAGGAGGAAACTCACAGGTTGGAGACATCGACATAGATGTGATTGGCCATGTGGAGGCCTTTATGTTAACTTCAAAGTTTTACAAAAGTCTTAAACTAAAGTCGAAGAACGAAAAATAGCATCAGTCACAATCTTAGTGAACATGGTAAACTCGTCTGACTTGTGGAGGGAGGCCCTACCAAACCAGTTTTACAGCCCTATTCGTTTTCCGACCACGCAATTTACCAAACTAATACAAAATATAGTATTTGGTTTTCAAAGTACATTGACCGCTCAAAAATAAAATTATTTATGTCTCACTTTCGCTTGTTACTTTATAGAAAACTCCCAAGATGCCTCCACACGTCTATGAGATGGTTCAGTTTGGACCACTCTTCAGCAATTAGATCAACTTTTACAGAGAAATTCTTCCAGAAATTCAGAAGTTGACTGACGGAACCTTCGATGCACCCAATTTTTACTACAGTGAACTAAATCAGTATTCAGCAATGATCATTTTGGAGAACTTCCCCTTTCCTTTGATAAGGATTTTGTAGCGAAGTTCTGCTTTTTGGTGAGCTCCTTCAGGAGTATGTGCGGTTCCTTCCGTACAGCGCGTATTAATGCGTTTTTCCTTATGACCCTTGTTGCCTTGCAGCTATCAGATGAGGAGATCATCGATCGTGCCATGAAGCACGGCGGAGAGATTGTTGATCGTGAAGTGGCCCACCAGATTATGGATTTGCAAAAGCTAAGCCAACTGTGCGAAGTGTCTATAGACGAAGGCATTGATTTAAGAAAGTTCACGACATTTAAGTGATAAATTGTTTAAAAAGGTGTTTTTAAATCAACTCGAAAATATGATAACAAATGTACAGCAAACAGAAGAGAGCGTTGAAAATAGACTTATTCGCTCTTCGATTATTTCTTATCTAAGAACGTGATATGCCTAACAGAGCCTACAAAATAGCTAACGACACTCCCTCAATTTCATTAAGCTATTTGAAGCCAACCTGTACAGACCCCATATAACTAAACACGATGTCACAGATCAAGGAGGAGACTCAGTGGCTGCGCTCTACGATTCTTCCAAAGATTCTAAAGAGCGGACGCTTGGTGGACAACTACAACGATGCAAAGGCTGACACCTTCCAGGTGGGAGACATCGAGATCGACGTGATTGGTCATACGGAGGCCTTTATGATTACGACGTGCTATCGGACAACGATCAACTTTGAGTACGACGGCGAGAAGTTCCAGCGGAAGATGGTCGTTAAGGTAGTGTATCTTCAAAGTTATAAAACGATTATGAATGGAAGGTCAAGGCAGAGAATTTAAAGAATTTACTGCAAGGTTTAGAGGAATAGCTAAAACCGACTCGATATGCATATCAAGTGTTGATATGACGTGCTATCAGTCAAATTAGAGATCAGCGATAGGTTAGATTACAGAATTAACAATTAACAATGAATATTAGTTTTATGTCCCAAAACGAAAGCAATAAGTTGAAGATTACGGCTATTTCCCAGAAAACACCCCAGCTACCGCCACCCATCTATGAATCTATCCAGTTTGGAGCGCTTTTCACAAATGAAATCAACTTCTACACGCAAATTCTCCCAGAGATTCAAAGATTGGCTGGCGGCAAATTCGCAGCACCCAAGTATTACTACAGTGAACTTAATCCGTATTCGGCGGTAATCATCTTGGAGAACTTCGCCGAGCAGGGATGGCGGGTCACCAAGGATCGGGTGGGTCTTAGCCTAGAACACGCTCTGATAGCTGTAAATTACCTGGGAAAGTTCCATGGCTTCGCTTACGCCTTGAAGCACAAGTATCCAGAGCGTTTCGCCCAGCTGACCAGCGGTCTAAGGGAATCGCGATATGCCAGTGATGAGATGCATCCGGATTGGAAGTTAACTGGCGAGACAGCCATCAAGCGTGCGGCCAAGGCGGTGACCACATACCAGTCCCAGATCTCTGAGGAGTTTGTCAAGCAGTTCAGCGATTTGATTTCGAACAGCACGAAGTATGGCAGACAACGGGTGGCGCCCATGGAACCTCTGGCCACTCTCTGCCACGGAGATTATGTAAGGAACAACGTGGCCTACCAGTACAATGGCGAGGAGGAGCCGCAGGAGATTATGATGTTCGATTACCAAACGCTGCGCGTGTCCTCCCCCATGATCGACCTCTCGGTCTTTCTAGCCATATCCGTTTATGCCGATGTGCGGTATCCAAATTTTGATGCCATCTTTGATGAATATTGCTCGGCATTGAATGACAGCTACAGGAAGCACGCCAAGGCAGAGGTTCCGGAGTCTATGAGGTCAGTAAAAAAAATTGGTTGTTTTACAATTATTATCGGATTTTCATATATGTCTTCATTTGTCTTACAGTCGGGCGGAGCTCCTGAAGGAGTACGTGCGCTTTCTGCCGTACAGTGTGTCCATTTCGGCTTTCTTCCTCATGACCCTCGTTGAGCCAATGGACATTTCGCCGCAGGAGATGTTCGCCACACAGTTCACCCCAGAGGAGATTATAGACCGTGTAATGACCCAGGGCGGTGAATTGGTAGATCGGGAGGTGGCTCACCAAATTAAGGAAATGCTGGAGCTGAGCCAAAAATGTGGGGTCTCTATAGATGATGGCATTGATGTTGACAAGTTGTCAAATGCGTGAATTGCAGATAATAAATATATTTTTTTGCTTTAGTGCCTGACACTGACTAAAAATCGATTGTAATCATTACGGCCCATATTGAATGCGAAGATAGGAAGCCGTAGGAAGCCAGGCCAATTATAATACAGCGTATTTTCGGGTGTTAAATCTTATCAGTGTTTTAGTTCTGGAAGTTTGTTTTTGTTTTGATTTAGAACAGCTGATTGCGCCGGGACTGCCAACTTGTGTTACTTCGCCGTCACACATGTGAACCACTTTAAACTAGTGTTGTGAAAGGTTCGGTCATTAAACAAAATTAAAAGACCGAAAATGTTTCAACCTTCCCGGCAACAAGTCCTGCGCCTCTACAAACATTTAATACGATACGGAAACCACCTAAAGCTGACCGACAAGAATTACTTTCTGGGCCGAGTACGCCACGAGTTCAGAGACAATCGAGCCCTCACAAACCCGGTGGAAATTGACTTTAGTTTCAAGGTAAATATTTACTATTACTACTTACTATTTCATAACACCTGTCTAATTCCGAGATAATTTCCCATATTCAGAGAGGAGAAACACTGCTGAAGAAGGGACGCATTCTGTAGGAATGCTGCGGGGTCTGGTACGTTTCCTGGCGTTTCCTTCGCCTTCTGCGCGCTGGAAATCCACTGCCAATCTGGACTACACTCGCTATCCAACACTCCAGGAATCTGAGATCGAGGAGACCTTTACGCGAGGTAGTGGTCCCGGTGGTCAGGCAGTGAACAAGACCTCCAACTGCGTCTTCCTGCGACATTTGCCCACCAACATCACCATCAAGTGTCACACTCATCGATTGGCCTCCAAAAATCGCGTGGAGGCCAGGAAACTGCTACTGGAGAAACTGGATGCTCATATAAATGGAGAGAACTCCATAGCGGTACAGATCAAGGCACAGGAACAAAGGAAATCTACGGAGCGGCGTCGTAGGCAAAGCAAACTCCAGGAGATGAAGAAAAGCTGGCAGGAAAGGGAGCACCCGGACAAATTATGTTGACCAATAGGGAAAATACAGAACTTTCATACAAAAATACATTTAACCTAACATATATTTTAGGGCACATCTACCAGCTGGAGAAATTGCCGAAGCCACCGCCGAGTTTCTTTTTCTTGGCTGCTTGTGCGGCTGGAAGAGGAGTTTCTGGCTTTTTGGCTGCCGCTTGGAGTTTAAGGTACTTGCCCACACCTTCTCTGTACACTTTTAGGGGTTCCTTCATTCGCTTCTGTTTCTCTTCCTTCTTCACCGTTTCCTCCTTGCTTGCCAGCTCCGCTTCTCGCTCCTTCGCCAGTTGTTCAACGGCCTCGGCAAAGGGATTGACAAATACCTGGGAGTTTTCTATAATGATGTCCTCAATCGGTCTGTCCTTGTTGTCCACCTCGATGTTCTCCATTTTCTGCAGAGTTTCCAGGCCGCCAACGAGCTTCCCAAAAATTGTATGCTTGCCATCCAGGTGTTTGCAAGAGCGGTACGTGATGAAGCTAAAAAATATGAATAGGGAATGTAGTTGGCAGAACCTTAATTAGCATCAAAATACTTACAACTGCGAGCCATTGGTATTGGGTCCCGAATTAGCCATGGAGAGTACGCCTCGACCCGTGTGCGTAAGATTGGGTCTGAACTCGTCTTCGAATTTCTTGCCCCAAATGGATTCACCTCCAGAACCACTACCAGTGGGATCACCGCCTTGTACCTAGATCCAGAAACTTAATTAGTTTCCTCACTGCTTCACAGTCCATGCATACTTACAATAAAGTTCCTAATGGATCGGTGAAACATTACGTTGTTGTAATAGCCATTGGCACAGTGCTTTATGAAGTTGTCGCAGGCTCGTGGCGTTTGGTCGCAGTAGAGCTCCAGGTTCAGGGGGCCGAAATTCGTGTTTAACCGAACGTAGCCCTTCTTCTTGACCCTCTCATACTTAACCAGATCATCGTCTATTATGGCTGCCTCTATCTGGGAAACGGGCACCATGGCAGTGGACGTGAAGCTGGCGGCCACCGCTCCCGTGGAATAGTGAGCGGCGTTGAATTTGTCCGCAGTTCGCTTAGACGTAGATGGCTCCTCCTCCGCAGGCTGGTAATCTTTTTGCAACTGGGCCAACGTCTCCTTGGTCTCCAAATTCATCGTCTTGATGCGCGTGCTGGCCGGATCCTTTCGCTCTAGCTGTTCCTCCTCCGTGAGCACCCTAAGGTTCTTCTTTATGTGATGAAAGGTAGAGATGTCGTACTTTTCCAGTTTCTGAGGATCCTGAATGGTGATAATGTCCTTGCGCTGAAAGGGCGTGTCGTCCACCAAATCCTTCCAGTTTTTGGTCTTTATGTTAAGTTGATCGATGGCCTCCCAGCAGTAAACATTGCCCGTGGTGGCCACCGCCACGATGTGCGAGTTCTTGCTGAAGGGCTTGAACAGAGCCGGGCAATGGTACTCGTCGTTGGCATTCCTATAAAAGTTCAGCTTCACCAGGGACTTGGAATCCATCTTCTGGCCGGTGATGGGATTGATCTTGAAAGTCTTCAGGAAGTTCAGAATGGCCTCGTACTCGAAGACGTTGCCCTGCAGATCGCAGTAGGGCATCTCGAACGGCGCCATGGTGATGCAGCAGTGCTCGAACGGAAGCCGCTTGAACTTGACATGGTTGTTTTCCGCGGACTCGGTCTTTTTCCCTCCATAAAACTCGCTCCACTCCGTGTACGTGAGGTACCTGTAAAGCACGGTGGATTTTAATGGACTGCCGTGACTTTAGGGACTTTGGGGACTTACATTTTATCCTTCTGGTGCTGTCTTTTACCCATTGTGACTGGCTTTTGTTACAGATTGACCGAATTTAATAAAACAAGCGGAGATCGCGACTTTGTTTACAAAACTTGCATCGAAGCTGCCAACTTGTGCGCAGATAATCGATTGCACGCGAACACTACACAGCAAAATAGTGCTTACCAATAAATATTTAAAGTATCGAAACTGAAATAAATACTATACTTAATGATTTATACAGCCTGAGTTAATTGAATATCTTTGGTGTTTCATAACTATAACTACCATAATGACTCCACTGACTTGCTGCAAATTTGCATATTTAAAAAATACCAGATAATAGAAAATGCCTGAATCTTGTTGCACAGTGTTATCGAACCACACGAACAGCTGTTCTTCAGGGCGGTGCAGCCCTGGTTCGGGAGGTTCAGTAAAATCAAACAACAAAGGCGAGCGACGAATTTTCCAACGTATAATATACGACGATAAAAATAGGCAATACGGTTGACCTTGGGCGCGATGTCTAGCCCCCACATTAACTACCGCTCGCTGGACGAAGAGATGGCCAGCCCCTTCCAGGAGCAGCGTCGCCCGCCCGTCACAGTCACCACAACAACAGAAAAAGCGAAAGACGCAAAAACACAAGCAGCTGCTGCGCATTTAGACCCCCTGGACGACCATGGGATGGAGCAGGCGCTGGAGGAGCCCGACACGGAACACGAGGCCGAGGACACGCCCCGGAACAGTGGCGTTATGATACACATGGTTCCAGAGACGGGACGGGCGCGATGGAATCATATCGAGGACCTTGACTCGTTCTTCTCGCGTATGTACCAGTACCAGCAAAAGCACGGCTTTCAAGTGATCGTGCTGGACGAGGTGCTTCAAGTGCTGGAGTTCGGATTTGTCGTTTGGCTGCTGGTCTTTGTGACTCACTTCGTCCGCTATGACGAACTCTTCGGCGATGTCCAGCACAACGGAACGAAAACCACGCTCTCTGACGTGATCTATCCCACGTCGGAGTGGGGAAATCGCGTGGGATTTTTCACCTACCTGATTGTGTTCATTGCTGCTATCTACCTGGGTATTCGCTTGCTAAAGATGGTCTATCACATCACACAATTCGCGGACATCCGTCGCTTCTACAACTCGGCGCTGCACATCGAGGACTCCGAGTTGGACAACTTCACATGGCACGAGGTGCAGCAGCGCATCCGACGCGTCCAGGCCGAGCAGCACATGTGCATCGACAAGGAGTCGCTCACCGAGCTCGACATCTACCATCGAGTTCTTCGCTTCAAGAACTACCTGGTAGCGCTGATGAACAAGCAGCTGCTGCCCGTCCGATTCCACCTGCCGCTGATCGGAGAGGTGGTCTCCCTCAGCCGTGGAATGCTGTTCAACATAGACTTTATCCTCTTCCGCGGGCCGGGATCGCCCTTTCAAAACAACTGGCAGCTCAGGGATGAATTTGCGGTGAGAAGCAATCAAACGGAGCTAGCCCAGCGCCTGTCCAAGCTGATCCTGGGCGTGGCGCTGCTTAACCTTCTGCTGGCTCCCGTCATCTTCGTGTGGCAGCTCATCTACTTCAGCTTCTCCTATGCAAATATCCTGCGCAAGGAGCCTGGTGCCTTGGGACTTCGAACGTGGTCGAACTACGGGCGCCTATACATGCGCCACTTCAACGAGCTGGACCACGAACTGGATGCGCGGTTGAATCGGGCCTACGAGTACGCAGACCGCTACCTTAACTCCTTCTCTTCGCCGCTGCTTGCTGTGATAGCTAAGAATCTGCTCTTCATCAGCGGAGGTCTGCTTCTGTTCCTCCTGGTGCTGACCATGTACTCGATTCACGTCGCAGAGGTGGAGCACGTGGTTACCATCATGGCCGTGCTCACCACAGTGGGTGTAATTGCCAGGACTCTCGTTCCCGATGAGAACCTCATTTGGTGCCCCGAACAGCTGATGACCGCCATCATAGCGCACGTCCACTACCTGCCCTCAGAGTGGCGACAACAGGCACACACGGCTCGTGTTCGTCAGGAGTTCGGCCACTTCTTCCAATTTAAAGCCGGCTACCTGCTCAGCGAAGTCTTCAGTCCGTTCGTCACACCCTTCGTGCTGATCTTTGTGTTCCGGCCCAAGGCCATGGAGCTAGTGCGCTTCTTCCGCACCTTCACCGTCTCCGTGCGAGGTGTGGGCAACGTCTGCTCCTTCGCCCAGATGGATGTACGTAAGCACGGCAATCCCGACTGGCAGCTGACCAGCGAGCTGGATGAGATGACCCGCCCAGCCACCCAGCAACCGCACCAGCAACAGCAGCAAGATCCGCAGCAGCGCAGCTTGGCCGGTGGCAAGACGGAGATGTCGCTGCTGCGCTTCACTCTTAACAATCCGGAGTGGCAGATGCCCAAGGAGGCCAAGCAGTTCCTGCGCGGAGTCCGAGAGCATGCTGTGGGTGAGTTAGTGCAGGCTAAGACATCGACGGTGCAGGAGAACCCGCTGACCAACAGCCTCGTCTCGTTCGGTACCATCGGCGAGGAGTACTGCTCCTTGGCAAACTCTGTGCTGGCCGCCCAGCTGACACCGCACCAGCTGGAGATCTCGCAGTCCCAGCGCCCGGACGTGGGAGTGGGACTGAACCGTGGTCCAGCCTCAGGAGGATTTCCAGTCGCTGGCAGCGATTTCCGCCAGATGCTGCAGCAGAACCTGTCCGCCAGCATGGGACCCACGGACAGTATGCGACACTTGGGACTCAGCCGTGCCGAAGGCCGTGTAGAGGGTCCTGGAGAGACCCTTCTATACGGACTTTGCGGCATGGAGCCACGCGTGGGCCGGACACCGCTGAACGTGGGCGTGGCCGATATGTGCCTGAGCGCCCTCTACCTGCACGAGTTAAGTCAGCAGAGGCGACAAGCGCGCCAGTCGCGCATAGACGAGACGGAGGACGACCGTCCTGGGCCGAGCAACTGGCCACCAAGGCCACCACCGGCTGCTCCGGCCACCGCCGGCTCCCGCCATACCGTGATTACCTCAAAGGCTGCCGAGAGCACGCCGCTGCTGGGTAGCATCCGCTCATAGCAGCGGCCAGAGTGGATCTAACCACTTGTAGAGCTAAGGACCACCCCCCATTCTGCTATTAGTGATTAACCTTTAATTAAGTTTTAAAGTGTGAACGAACGAGCGAGCGAGCGAACGACGTCGTCTAGTGCGTAGCTAAACTAATGTCGAACTAAGCTAAACTAAACGAGAAGCAATAAACATAACTGCATTATCAAAAAACTCAGGTTTCTGTTTAAATTAATACTTTACACGGAAATTACATTTAAATAATGAAGGATTATCGTTCATTATGTATGCTAATCAATCAATTCTAAGTCAAATAACTAGCAAGATCGAGGAAAATGTTAAGTGTACTTAATGGCTTAAAAATAATTATTTGCGTTAAACATCACGTGGGAATATATATTCAGGAATAACCACAAATGTTAAACCCACAAATATATTTAAATCCCAGCTAGCAATAGACAAAACTTCCTTGGTCAGGATAACATACCCAAAGCCTATTGCCGTTTTATCTAGATCTCACTTCTCTCCGGGTTGTGGGAATCCTGTGCCTTGACATCTCCAGGGGTTCTGATGGATGGCCTCCATTTGCCGGCATTGTTGGCACACCACATCCACCAGCCACTAGATGGAACCGAGATCCAGATGCGGCGAGAGAGAGAGACGCATCCAGCTGTGCTGCAGCGCCTCGTGTGTCACTTGCCACACACGAACGCCATTTGGCGATTGGTGTTGATGGCATATGCAGCGAGCAGAGAGTGGACACCGGAGAACTCAGATCGGAGGAGTGAAGTGTGGTGGAAAAGTGCGTGCCTATGAATCTCCCCAGGCCAGTCCAAGCCAGACACCGATACACAGATGCAGATACCGCCAATCCCCGCCAGCTGCCGCGGCGGCAATGGCTGTGGCAACATTTATGAATTATGTGCGTGCTGCATGGAGCTGGAGCTGTGGCTGCAGTTGGAATCTCTCTAGCTGGATCGCTGGAGAGTCTTTTGGATCACGTTGTCTCATTTTTCCGCTGCACGCCAATTTTGGGGGAGCATTGGCCAACATTACACGAATGTACGAAAGGCAGGCCGGCCACTTGCCCGTTTTGGATCCATCCTCCGACTCGGACTCTGAATCCGACTCGAGCTCCGATGGACGATGGAAGATGGAGATGCAGTTGCAGTTGCATGTAGTACTAATTGTATAGCTTGTGTTATCCGATCCTGCACAGGGAAAAAATTTGAAATAATTATGTTGTCTTGATTCCATAACCTTAAGAGCTTTAAATCATTGGAGTAAGTTTCTCCTTACCTATATTCAAATGCAGTCAATTCTACCTAAAACGAAGTTTATAAATGTGAAAAGCTTCATACATAAAGTCTTTAAGTTCTATGGTCAGTTAGAAATCTCTCAAGTTCTGATTAAGAAGTTAAAAATCTTGATTTCTTTATTCCAAATAAAGTGGTATTCCTTCTTTTTTGCCATATTTTTCCTTTCGTGTAAATGATATGGTTTGGAGTGGGGTGACGCGTCGCTTATGGCTCAAATGGAAACATTTCGCGAGCCTTGTCAAACAATCGAATTTAATTTATGATTTCCTGCGCCAATCGAGTAATGACACTGCATGTGGTAGACCTCGGCGGACCCCGAAACTCTGGATATCTCGTGATCACTCGATACGCAATTTGGTCACAGCAGGGCCCGAAAATCGTAGCTTTGGCTGTGAATTGGAAAGGCCCAGAGAGGGAATGGGAATGGGAATGGTAATGCGAATGGATTGGATTGGAATGGACAGGGACGTGAACGTGGACGGGAGCCACTTGCATATGCGGCTGTCTGGGATTCTGATGGCTATGGACCACCACGTCGCGATCGCGGCGGCAGTAGAACCAGTTCAAGATCAGGCGTCACTTTGCAGCGCTGAGTGCCGCTGACAGTTGGATAAGGTTTCGAGTTCGAGTCGCCGAGCTGCAAGACTCAGTTCCCTGAGACTCTAGATCGCAGCTGCCATTCCGCAATTAGAGCCCAGGCCTGTTGTCGCAGTTGCACGTCGTCGGCCGCTATCAAACGTGTCTCTATGTCTCCGGCAGCGACTAATGATGATGGTCCCTGTCCCAGTCCCTGCCCCGATCCCCAAGCCGTAGCCTCTGCTGATCCGCGACGAGTGTGAAGCATCAGCGTCGTCGCCTTTGATTGACAACTGATCAACGTTTTGGAGCATCGTTTCCCACTTTTGGAGCCAGCACGTTCTCCCTGATAACTTATCGGTTTTTTCATAATTAAAAAACCGGCTCGGGCTGGCTCCTTACAAATAGATGAGTCCCTGGTTAAGATTGACCAGATGAGGTTCAAATAGTTTAGTCACCCCGCCAAGCTCTCTCCCTGCCTGCCCGGATTTGCATTGCAAATTAGACGCGGCTTCATTTGCTCCTTTCGGACTGTTGCCGTGTAATCGAGCTGCGATTCAATAAAACATTTAAACATTAAACTGCTTTTATGCAAATTGCCGGCATGCGCTTAATTTTCGATCAGCAATGGTGTCTGGTTTTGGCCTTGCATCCGCTTGAATTATCTACCCATTGCATGCCTGCAACACCTTACGATCCAAGCCGATTCGATGCGATTGGATCCCCGCCCTCCTCCAATCCAGGAGATGATAGCATCTAGAGTGGATCTCTACATAGTCTGCTGTTTGGCTGCCTCGCTCCTCCATCTAATGGCGGTGGCTAAAATGCTAATCAATAGCCTTATCGCTATTAATCTCGGCTTCGGTTTACCTTCTGCCCGGATCTCTCTGCCAGCTACTTGTTTTTCGAGATGGGATCACTGGAGGTGGATTAAGCTTGGGGTTCGACTTCGTGGCTTAGGGGAAAGGGTACTGGTATTGGAACTGGAGCGTTCATTAAACATCCAATTGCTGTTGCCTGTTTGTAAACGTTTGTTGGCTTAAATTGTAGATCATTACGTTAATTAACATTGAGCATACGCCGTGTGGGTCACAGAAAAGCGAAACGGGTCTCTGCTACAACCTGCCCTTAATTAAATATCATTGTTAGTAGCCCTTGAAGGGAGTATTTATTGCTATAAGTTAATTAAAGTTAACTAGAAGAGAACGAACATCAGGCAATCTCTAAAATCTTAAAGAGTTCTTGCATATTGTTAAGACCATCTTAATCCAGTTTGAAGTTTATCTTCATATTTATAGGCTTGGCAACTTTTACTACTTGTTTTCTCAATGATAAATTCCATAAAAGAGATACTCCCAATTAATAGACCAAAGCCAAGCCTCCTTCACTTTTTCACCCATTACAAGATGATCAAGGAAATGACATTCTTTGGACTCATTAATTTGGCATAAGCCCTCCAGCTGCAGGTCACATGGCTGCAGGAGGATAAGGAGCTGGAGCAAAAGGAACGGATGGAGGCCAAGTCATTGGCATATTTATGAGCCAGCCGCTCCCCAAAGACGCACAGGCAGCAGAGGAGCATCGAACATGAGCCTGCCGGGCGGCAACGGCATCCCAGTCTCATCCAAAAGACCCTCTTCCAATCTCCCAATCGTCCAATCGCACCGATCTCCCAACTCCCATTCGGCCGGATGGCTTGGATTGGCTTCAGCTGGGCCCCATTGGCGCGTGGGCTGGGTTTACCGCGACGCTGGGATGCTGGGATGCTGTCGCCCGAAGTGGATTTTCTGTTCAACAAGTAGTTTATGATGTTTTTGTCAATTCATGGCAAAATTAATGACGCTGCAGAAAAGCACACGCACATGGAATCTGCAGCACAGAGAGAAATTAGGAGCATAATTCCAAGAAGTGGGGTAATTTAATGGTTATATAGATGGGATTAAGTAAAGGTTATTCCGTAAGTATGTTGCAGAAATCCAACTTATGGTTACTAACACATGTTCATCCAAGGAATTAATCCCAACGGTATGTCCTTTATTTTACAAAATCCCCCATGTTTCTCTTTCTGTATCATGCCTCTCCCTGGCAAGGCGTTAAAAATTGTTGCCCATAAACTTAAAGAACTGCAAAGGAGTTGGCTGGATGCAACTCCCCCTGCGGAACCGCATCCACCAGGTGCTCGGCTCGGGGCTGAATCTGCATTCAGAAATGCCATTAGTCACATTTGTGGGCCACAGTCGCAGGCGCTTGTAGCCACGACGACTTGTAATTTTCTCCTCATCCGCGCCGGAACCCGTTTGGATAATGCCGAGAGGGGTTCGGGTTCTGGCCGCTGAGGCTTGGGTATGGCTATGGGGATGTGGAATGAGGCTTTTTGGCCGGGCTGCAAAAATATTTCTATTGCCGTTAATGGCGTTAATAATTTTAGCGTTCCAGGCCGTTGGTGTGGATGGTGGCTGGAGGATTAGCCCGCGTCTGTCATGTTCCGGGATGACGTTACATGGCCCCAACTGACAGCCGGCAGCAGCAGAAGCAGCGGCAGCAGGGAAATATGAATAAGCAGCTCTCTAGAACCCAACTTTGGGCGGTGGCTAATGCGAAGTTAATTGGAAAATGCCAGCCCAGAGTCAGAGCCAGGCCGGAGTGGGCCGAGTCGGTGCACCGCATCAGGATTAGTCGGAGCAGCAAATGGCGTATCGGATTTCAAGCTGCCCGCTTGGTAGCCACCGCTTGTCACTCGGTGGTGGCAATGCCACCTCTGCTCAGAGATAACTCTCGATTCCGATTTCGATTCCGATCCTGAGCACTTGTTCAACATGCCGCAGCACAAGCAGCTAGAGAAGACGGAGCCGCGGTAACGGGAGAAGTCCCAGGTGCCACCGCTGCCACTGGAGGAACAGCGGCCAAGTTGACGACATGCAATGCATCCGATTTCAAGGAAAATCCTCAAGATATTTTCACATTTCGCAGGGGCAAATTCCATAAAAGTATCTGCTGGCAAAGTTTCAGTTTCAACTCTCCTTACCAAGTTATATGTCACTCAAGATTGCTGCTTATAAAGTTTTTAGTTTTAGATACAGAAGATATAGATATATAGATATTGCGAAGCCTTCTACTTTGGGAATTTAAATTAAAAATATTACAATTAGTTTCTTAGACTTGTTTTGTTTATAGCTGCAAAATGGCTGCTATTATTTACTTTATTAATTTTAATAAAGCATTGTGCTTATAGATATACACTTTGAATACAAAAGAGAAAACTTCAGGAAAATAAGAAAAGGTAACTTCGGGAAGTCGAATTTTAAACTGAGCATAACT